AACGCACTTGTAACGCCTCTGGTGTTCCAGGTGTCCATATGCGACGCCGATTGCTTACCATCAGATGATCCAAGAGGTCGTTCATCGACTTATCCCTTAAAAAAACTATACAAGTAAGCCAAATTAAATAGAACTACTATGTGCCTCACATTAAGTAATTAAAAGATTAAATATTTATTGCGCAATATCTAGTTAAGTTTCTTTGAACTTATTGACTAATACATGTTTTAACTTATCAAATTATACAATACGAAGCCAAAGAGACTTTCCATTGTCTCAGAATATCCCACTGAGAGATAGGTGTGACAATGTGTATGTTCTCCCCCACAGACAAAGTAATACATATTATGTATAACTGTATATGTATATCGCCCTTTTGTCCCAGTGTGTGTGTGTGTCTCAATAACAACACATATGCTAATCGTATCGTAAACTGCAGCAACGGCTTCATAACGCCATATTAGTTATGTTATGTTACGATTGAATAGTTAGTACAATGCTTCGCGTCCCCGACACTAATTGTTACTGTATGATACAGGTAACATATTGTCTGCAATCGATTTCCAGCTTTATTTTTTGGCAGTAAAGGGTTAAATTAGTTTGAGTGTTTAAGGCAATAAGTTAGCTCTATGTATGTAGTAGAAAGTAGTTGAATCTTACTAATAATAAATGCGGAAGTTTGTGTGTTTGTTTGTATGTTTGTTACTCAGTCACGTCAGAACGACTGAAGGGATCGGGATGAAATTTGGAACAGGGATAGATTAAGGCCATATAGGCTTTTTGTACCCCCACTTATAATATATAGGCTTTTTTACCCCCACTTATAATATATAGGCTTTTTTACCCCCACTTATAACATATAGGCTTTTTTATCCCCACTTATAACATATAGGCTTCTTTTTACCCCACTTATAACATATAGGCTTCTTTTTACCCCACTTATAACATAAGGCTTCTTTTTACTCCACGGGATCGCGGGCAAAGCCGCTGGCAGAAACTAGTCTTTTATAATGGTACAATAAGTGATGTAGAGGTGGAGAAGAACCATAGAGCATAGAGTATAAAGTTAAATTGTTTTTAACTCAATCATGAACCTATGAAAAAGGGTCGACTACTTTTAAAACCATCAAACAATATTTATTATTGACTTTCATACTAACTCTACAAATTAAATTGAATAACGATAATCAATTATCGAAACCACATTATTTTGGAATATAAATTAGACTGTAAGTCCCATCATTCAAGCTATTATCAATATTTACCTCTCTCATCAAAAACCGTTTAACTTGTACAAACTAAAAACGAAGCGTAAATAAAGTAAAATGAACAACAGAGCACATTAACCGGCTCCTCTACTTAATGGCTTGTATGCAAATCGCTATCACAACCATTTAGCGCAGCCATCGCTCACAAAGCGCCGACTCAGCCATTTTAATTCATCCTCAATCACTTTACAATTGGCAAAAAACTTGATTTTAAATTCACTAAAGAGGGTACAACGGTCGTTTTATCAAAACACATTAAAATTAAATTATAGTGTCATCTATCAAAATAATTTAATATGGTGCACAGTTTGTACGATGTGTCGGACTCCCCTTCAACCTCATCTGCATGATGGTAACTGCATTTTATCTTATCTGTGACGTCATTAGAGCCTGATACCCTACTGGAGCGCTTTAATGAAGTGTGGCCGCTGTCACGGTGTTTGTAGCTAATTCATGTATTAAGGTAGATCAGATTAGCTGCTTATATCTCAAGTAATAACAGTTCCTGGCTCAGAAATAAAATGATGACTGTGTTACACTAACGATATTTTTATTGTGAGGTGTAAACACCAGTTACGATCCCTTCATTAAAATCATTTTTATTGCCATAATCGCGATCAATTTTAGTGCACAATTATTACAATCTGCATCGTATAAAATTCGCGAAACAGGACCATATAACCCGAATCAGCAGTGGAATAAAAAATACGAGATAACACGCAATAAAATTATCTAAACGCATCTATCGCTGTGGGAACCATCCATCGCTGGGTCACAACTAATTCGACGGTGTTTTACAGCCACAATAAAAGGAATGATAGCGACACACAGTGATTTGCATTTTGAGCGCGACACGAGTTATTGCCTAAAGGGCGACTTATTACGACGTTGTATATCATAGTTGTAAAACCCAACGAACAGTCCGTGGTGCGGATTATAAGATCATCTTTTATTATTTTTATTATTGGTGCTGTATAGTTTCAGAGGAAATAAAAAGGAGGTCTGACGCGCTCGGGGCCTTCGGTTTGAGTTATGGGAAACTGGGATCAATCAATTTTAATGTGGCTCGTATAAATGCCTGGTTCTATGAAACGAGACTTGAGTGAATCACTCATAGAGCTGCACTTGAGTCAGGATCCTAAAATAATGATCGCGAGTCTTGAATAAGTGAATAAATGTGAACATGATTCAGCTCGTTGTATAAAGCCAAGGAATTTGCAAATCCGGCTACAGTGTCTAGAAAGTCTTTTATGAATGAATATTTCGGAAATTATTGTCTTTGTGATACTATAAACTAAACATGGTCAATATTCATAAATCTAAACAAAAGAAATCAAAAGCAATAGTGCTAATAGCGAGGGCAATCCATTAACTCAATAAATGCAGCAATTAAACGACACGAATGCTCTGAAAGTATGAAATATAGTTATTGAATAAACAGCCGTCAAGAATTAATTGCATTACGTATTCGAGTTGCATCGGCCGATGCATCACACATGTGTAAACACACTACCCTCTCTGTTAATCTTCCCCATGGATTAATTTTATCGAATGCCAAATGAGCTATGACACCCATGCAGGGGAATTGAAACACCCTACAAACTTAACTTTGCACTCCATAACACTCCTAACACAAAGTCACAAAGTTGACAATCCCGTAAAGTGTTTAGATATAAAGTGGTAGATTATCCCTTCGCACATTGGCTTTTGAGTCCAATTTGTGAATGTGTATTGTGTGATACGTATTTAGTATTGTAAAGGATTGTTGGTCCTTGTGTATTGATACCATTAGACCGCTTATGCAGCTTAAAAGCTTCGATATTGGGGTGGTTAAGTTGAAACTATTCTTTTGTTAAACCAAAAAAAACGCTCTTACCTTATTTAATACTAACTTAAAGAAAACTGCAAGAAAATGATATGTCATCTTAAAATAGTCCATAAAACAAAACATACGAATACGATATTGACAATAAATGATGAGACGACAGATGTATCCCTAGTCCGGGAGTCGTCGAAGAATATTGAAGATTCATGATTATTGCTGAGGACGCAGCATCGCTCCAGTTTCCGCGCGATGTGGCGCGAACATTAATCTCATTGTGTGCGCATCATTGCACTCGCCTCTCTGACTATCGCTTGCAACGATGCTATGTTAGATTCATTGCACATGGCGATGCTCTTTTGTTACTTTCTTGACAGTAATAGTTGCTTGTATTCGATATAATAATGAAATGACAGTGTTGTATTTTTATTTGGTCTGTAGTCACGAATGTTTGTTTATTTTAATTGTATAATAACTTCGATCGTTGGTGAACGGAGACTCAATAAAAATAAATAAGTATTTTAAACCCAAACCTAAATTAAGACTTAATTTTACATCTCATAAACAACTAGTCTATTAACTTGAAGGAGTTAGTTGTGTACCAAAATCACGTTGTGAAAATAAATCGCATCACAGTTTGTGTCGCGCCCTGTGCAAGCTTCCTAACAGTCCCCTAATAGCGAGTATCACTTAGTATAATATGATTATTCCCCTCGCATTAAACTCACACTGGAGGGATCTGCTACATTGTGAGGAGTGCGCACATCATCAGACTTCATGCTGATGGAGAATATTTATTGAAAGTTTAGCAGAGTTTGACATTGGTCTACGACGTACAAACTTTTCCTACAGTACAATAAAAAGGTATTTTAATCTGTATGTAAAATGTATTAAAATCACAGGTAAATTCGAATAAAATTGAAACAATACTGTAAAACAACAAACATTGAATATCAGCATTCAATAAAGTTTCGCTCGGAATCGCACCGTGACCGCTTGCGGGCGGCGAGTGCCGCAGTTGTGTGCGGAGGGGGCCGCCCCGGGCATGACGTCGCCCCACAATTAGTTCCATATAACTGCGCCTTTTTACGCCTATTTTATGTGTTTGGTTTAATTGAAAGATCCTTTTGCATGATGTGTTTACTCCACTGTGCAGTAGGCGCTTCATTTAAGATGGTAATTTATATCTCGTAAAATGTTCGTGATGATCGCGTGTTATTGTTGCGTTTTACGACTCTTACTAACGGAGATAGTTTTACTTAACTCCAGTAGTTAAATGGCGTAATTCCTTGTATTGGGAATTGGAATGTAATATAAATATTAATATTTTATTAGGAATAAAATGAGAGACAGCTTATAAAAATGTAATAAAGATAGAATGTGGTCAGAGAACGTGGTCATTAGAAGCGTGGCAGTGATTGGTAAAAGTGTGAATCACGATATTAAATAGGTTGGTTAAAATAAAACAAAGTGTTGGTGCACATGTCGCGTGGTATAATCCTTAGTAATAGAGCGCCGCGTTTGACTGCGTGCCGCCGCCGCCGCCGCGCGCCGCTCCGCTAAGTGATTGACTTTTCAATCTATGTAATCGGATTAGTGCGAGTGCCGCGTGTTGGTGCCTGTACCCTACTCGTCGGTACACTGTGCTAATTGTGTTAAGCCCAATATTCATTTATACTGTTCCACTACTCATACAATCACGACCAATCTATTGACTTTCAATTGATGCCGACAAAAACAAAAAGTACTCTTATGTTTGAATTCTGTTCTCTGCGTTCTATATGTATAAAATGGTAATTGAATACGATTATTTCAAAAGCACCTGAGTGTTTCAGTCACAGAAATAAATACATAAGAAAAATGAACTGTTGTAGGAGCCTTAAGCATAATATTTACGTGTGTAGACTCACCTTGACTTGTGACTCGGTCATGCCGAGCGCGTACGCGAGCTTGGCCCGCTCCGGTCCGGCGAGGTACTTGGTCTGCTCGAAGGTCTTCTCCAACGCGAAGATCTGCTGTCCACTGAAAGTAGGCCTCGTGTGCTTCTTCTTGCCGTCCTTGTCCATGCCACCCTGAGAACACGCGCTCAGCGCGCCGTTGCTCACTGCAACAAAATCTGCAGTTGAGAAAAAAATAGGGTAAGATCTGCACTTTGTCATCACATTACAGTTATATACAATAATATGTTTTAGTTTTTAGAATGATACTATTATTAACTCGTTTTAAACATCGATAAAGTTGGAGCTCTATTAAAATGAATGAAAAAAAAAAAAACAGAGTAACATTAAACATTGGTGTCGCCTCAACAAAAGTTGAGCTGAAGATTAAAAACTATTATTGTAGACACGACTAGCGCGTCAAGTTACTTAAATCTATCAAACTATTGTATCGCAATAAGTAGGCAGTAGCTTGACACAACTTCTACATACATAAGTAAAAATATATATTTTTAGAACACACAATAACGGACGGTTATTCTTAAATTCATATTATAAATTTAACTATCTCCATGTACTGCAAGATGACATCAAATCGCTTAATTTTGGCAACAATGCAGTAATTACAAAGTGTTATTTATCGCAATACCAAGCCAGCTTGTAAATGATACATCATTGTTATGAACTCATTAACAACTGCTATCGATGATAATGTTACATCATACTGTTGCTGCAACAATGCTTACACAATGACTTTGAAGGCTTTATGTTATGAAACAATCTCAATTTGAAAGCAAGACTTTGTAAGTAAAAATGAGATCTGTAATTAATGGTTTTTCTTCGCTGCTAATAAATAAAACTTAAGTTTTGAAATCGTTCGATTATAGTATGAATGCTCTCAATGTTCGTCCAAATGCATACGAAATAATGACTTCTAAAGAAGTGGAATGATCACACTTCTCAATAAATTCAACGGTTTGTAACAGTTCCGTCCACCAAAATACTGATTCGTCATATTTAGTTCCTTTCCAATAACCACTTATACTTGAATAGAGAATATTCTCTTAATTGATTCGGTAGTGAGACAACGTCAGACACTTTAGCAAGGAATTTGAAACATCCGAACAATTGAAAAGCGCATGTTTTCAAACCAAAATAAAACAAAAAACATAGAGAGAGCACCAGCCTTAACAAAAATCAATCTACCTTCTCGTTCGAAGGGCTGACGGTCCCTTGACATCGTGTCGACGTTTTTATCATTATTTTCATTTCATTTTTCCACTCGTCTTCCTCTGCCCCCCTCCTCGCTCAGTCCTCCCCCTCCCTCCCCCGTTAGGTCCCGGAGGGGCGGTGACGCGACAGGCGTCGCTTCATCAAAACAATTTTATTCGCGATGATACTGTGTCACTATGTGAGCATAATGGAGAAGTTTAAAATAGCTCATAGTTCGTCAAGTGAAAAAAAAAATACTTGCTTGTTAATGATTAAAAATGATCGTGGTAAAGTAAGTATGTATACTTTAAAAAAATAAACAATAACACTTTATTCATTATTAGACCTTAGTGTGGTTTGAATTTCATCGAGTTGTCTTGCTAAGCATTTACATAAAAAAAAACTTTGTAATTTTCATGATCCTATTGCTACGACGTGCTACGAGCTACGGCTACGAAAAAGACTACACGATCGAATTAACTTATATTCTTAGCTGAAATCAATAAGTTTTTAATAACTAACAAACCAAGCACTGATACTTTAGACTTGTCTTTACATTACGTTAACAATGGACCTTCTGTCAGTACATTGTCATGTGCCGCGCGGGCGGGAGGTTATGGTTTATGTGCCTTTTATATTGATGTACTGTTATGTACAGTCTAGTTTTTGAACGATATCAGGATTAAAACGAGTCTCCACACAGATTGAATTTATTGGCGATGGAAAAATTCAAGCTATTTCAAATATTATTGTTGTGTTGCTGAATAAATGTTTTGTGTTGAATTCGTTTGGCATAAAATCAAATCAAAGCTATTGTTTAATACGTTATCTTACATTATATCTACAAAATCTTCCGTATGTTACGTTAGTTTGTATTTAATCCTACTTTTGTTTTATGAAGTCCTTATGAATGTATTATTATTTCAACATAACATAAAATCGAGCCTTTTATCCACGAAGGGCTAGGCAGAGGTGCACATTACGGCACTTAATGCCACTGTACAATGTAACACCTATTTTTCACTATTTAAGTTATGAGTCCCATGTAATAGAGGGTGAGTCTATTGTCACATTTCTAGACTCCGTGCTACTACTGAGATTTTTTTTAAAACCTATACTTTGACCGACCCGCGAATCGAACCCGAGACCCCTTGCCCGGCAGTTTCACTTACCACTCAGCCAGAGAGGCAGTCTTATTCTTATTCCAACTCGCTGCGATACGCCCTCAGACCAGATCAAAGATCAATTAAACAGAAATAAATAAATACTTTTTCTTTCTTTCGGAACAAACAAATATAAAAATATTATGTACCTATTTATTGCTCCTAAATTAATTGCATTCACCTACTTATTTAAATATAGTCTAATATTATTCTTTACGTATGTAGTTACCTAATCGCATTATTCATTAATACCATTACATGGCAAGGTACAGGCTATATTGTTTACTTAAATCAGGATATATATCAACTGGACATATTGTAATAAGGTATAAATATTAATTTATTTACATTATATTACTTGTGTCCTGCATAGCATGAGTTATGGCGACTTGTTATGTGCATGTACTGAATTATTTACTCAGTTATATTATCTTCGGCTGTTACGAAATAAACAATCGGCGAAGCGTCACCGATTCATAGTCGATGTCCCACCCACACGCACGAAGCGCTTCGCATCAAGCTTCCTTGTGAGTCCTGCTAAGGAGTGGAATTCATTCACTCTTTGCCAGAGTCTGTGTTTCCTGTGTCTATATCTGAGTGTCTTCAAGGCCCGAGTGAATCGGTTGCTTATGGGTCGACGTGCTCTATTTTAGACCACATCATCACTTACCACCAGGCGAGATAGTGGTCAAACGTCGCCCCATCAAATATAGTAATATAAAAGAATAACATTTTGAGGATTAAGTAACGGTTGTATTAATAATAATTATAGATTGAAATTATTTTAAACATATTTATGTTTTAAAAAATTAGACGATAATTGTTAATGAAGAGGTCTGATTAAACTTATATGGACCATAATTTCGATAGTACCTATCTCTTTTGTCGACCTCTGAAAAACACTCTACTCGTGTTTGTAATTTGCGTTAAGTAGAATGAGGTAACAACTGTAATGTAATAAATTGAGGTATATAATGTAAATAGTAGTATGTATTTAAAATAACCTTACGAAATCTATTTTTAGGCACTCCATGAATATCAAATGATAATGTATTCGCAATAAAATTACAGAAAATATTAAAATTTATTCTACAGTTCGGCGAAAATTACAGGCGAATACATCGTGAAATACTACTCGCATGTACTCACATATACATACATATAATATCTACCTACAGACTCATAGTACACGGAGCTATGACAAGTGTAAACATAGTTTATATTATTGACCTGCCCCGCTAATGTGTCCGAGCACAATAGACGCCAACAGGCCGGAAAACCGGCACCGACTGAAAGAAAAGCTCGTTAAAAGCAATGTGTCCAAACATTAGCTCTACAATAATACGGACACAGGACAGTCCACTCCACGGCCAGAACAATGGACAGCCGACAAATAACACACCCAATACCTGACCCACACACTCCAAAACCAACCTTACGACCTACAAAATAAAGCCCAAAATAATTTTCTACGCACATTCAACTTATCGCACTACAATATAAACTTTATTGCAAGTACTTAACGTATAAATTCGGGTGTTAGTTGTAAGGATGTGGCCGGTATTACAGCCTTCATTTAATTCCGTGTTTGGTGTAGAATGGCCTGTATTTGTAGTTAATTGATTCACTTATGTTGCGTTACAGCGTGTTGCTGAGGCCGGGTTTTGGATGGGTGGGGGTTAATGACGCATAAATAGTTTCCCTACATAGTGTAATGCTTACATTACACAAAGATCAAACTATTTACACATAACACAGTTCTGGGGTTGTACTGACATCGGGTGCTATTAGACATATGTAGCACAGATTCAAGTTAGATAAAGTTTGTCTTGCCTTGAAGCAATTCACACAGATATGGTGTATCATATTCTTAAGTGACTGAATTACATCATTTAAGAATAATTTACACAAGTAATTAACCTACCTAAACCACCTTGCGATGGACAACGACATCCTCTAAGTTGTCGGTGACCTAACTACCATCCGTAGGTCGCTTGAAAAGCCTGGGAGACCCTCGAAAGAAGTCTTTGGTCAGCAGTAGACATACTACGGCTGTAGATGATGATTTCAACCATCTGGCACACTTAGAGAGCAGTAACCTCTCAGCCAAGTTTTATCTACGCCTGCACATACGAATATTTTCATACTAACATGAAACTCGTCAACAAAACTGCAGCAAAGTTGGAAGCAATATCAGTGACGTCACTGTTCGTCCGCCATATTGCGAGGCATGCATTATGCAGCCGCACTTTGTTAATATCGCGAGCTGACCGGACTTTTTGAATAACTTGCACTATCTCAACTCTATATATATATATATATATATATTTGATTTCGAAGTGTTTGCTCCACATGTGGCGATTGTATTTGAATACGACTGTGTAGTTGCACATTCAAATATAAACCTAGTTCAAAGGGTACAATGGTTCTGTGGCGTGCTTTTGTTCTTCTTTAGTCTCACTATTAAAGGCTTTTACAAGTTCTGCGACTTTGTACTCTATACTAAATTAGTTTATATTTTGTTTGCAAACCATTATTTTAATGAAAACAAGATAGTGTGTCTTTAACAGAAACTATTCATTTGTGACGTAAACAATATACAAATATTTTATGAATGATAAGGTATATTACGTGAATATAATAAATATTATATTAAATACTATATTGTTAAATAAACTTCAATATTATCATGAAAGGAATATTGAATGTTGTGCATATCTTTAATTGTTGTAACACGGACACTAGTCGGTAACCCTATTATTTTCTTACTTTCAATGTGTGTGTTTATATTG